CTCAGCCTTCTTTATGGTCCAGCTCTCTCAGCCATACATTACTACTGGAAAAACCTATAATACCTATAATAATAATAATGTAGGACAGGGGTAGGTGGACTAGAATGTTGATTCCTTATAAAATGACTGCATATACCAAATAGTCATCCTTCATTCAAGCTATATGGTTCGAATCTAGCATTCCTCTGCCTGCCAATTTATCACTAGGAATTTAGGCAAAAGCAAGCACAACATATCCAGAGAGTATCAAGTGAAGAAAAGCCAATCTAACCAATTGTGTGTTTCTTGGAATATAATAGGCCAGCATCTTTCAAAAATAATGGCTTGATTTTCCCTTTCAGGGCAGAGCCGGTCCTCTCGAGAATCCAGGAGAACCGGAAAAGAGTCATCCTCCCGTCAATTGACAACATCAAGCAGGATACCTTTGAGGTCCAGCGCTATGAAAATTCAGCCCATGGGTACAGCTGGGAGCTGTGGTGCATGTACATTAGTCCACCAAAGGATTGGTGGGATGCAGGAGACCCTTCCTTACCTATCAGGTTGGTTCTGAAATGCAGGTTGTTAGGTGTTCAAGGTGTTTTCTTTTGCTTTCTTGGTTTTTCAGAGTGGAATGTAATGTCACAAAATCAACATCTTAACCCGATGCTAGTATTAGAACTTGGCCAGATATTGCAATTAATCATATTAAAAGTTTCTCCTTCTAAACCAAGCTCTGAGTGAGCAGAATTACGAAATGTTGACTGGAAAGAAAAACATCTGGAGGAGATACCAGCTTTTCTCTTTTTATTTTTTCTTATCTCTTTCATTAGATGACCTTTCTTAAAAGGGTAGACAACATGGTGTTGGTGGATATCTACCTTGGTTCCAACCAGTTTCCATGTCCTCGTTAACCACCAAAACCACCACCTCCTCTTCATTATTATTCAGCTTATTTTAATTTTAAACAAGCTAAATTTAGTTTAGTCTGAGGCAGAAATTTAATTTGAGACTTGACACTCCCTAGTTCTTTTGTAGATTTTGGGAGGGAGGAGGAGGCACATTCAGACTTGCAAGATCCTGTTACTGTAACCTTATAATAAAAGTAACATTAACATTTATAATTTTGGTTTTGTAGTCTGCTCTACCTCAAAAGGCTGTCCATGAAGCCACCAGAAGTTGAGCTTAATTTGAAGGAGACTTTAATTTCAAGCAACTTTCTACATCTCGCCCTAAAGATTGGTGTTGGGAACCTCATTTCCCCCATCCTCTAATTTCCACCCACAAAATCTTCCTTTCCACCTACCCTTGCAAATAAATAGCACAAACATAAGAATTATACACAAATGTAGAAAAAAGGTTCCTGTTCACTGCTTTTGGGGGAGGGAAAGGGGGCAAAAATGTCCAACATGACCTGAAGTGACCTCCAGTGAAAAGTCACTGGAACTACATCAGAAACCCAGTATGGAAGCAGGCTGTCAGAAAAGTGCAGGGAGAGAGATGAAATAAAATCTACGAAGCCATAGCTTGGAAAGAGACAAGATAATATTGCAGAGCAGAATTGGGTTTTCAGCCTAAATCGTCATGGTGGCAAATGGAAGAATAATTCCCCAGACAGGCCTGGAATGTTTGAAACACATTCCATCTGCTAGCTGTCCGTACAGTCTGCTTTCTTTGAGTGAAGGAACAGACAGTCTCTCTCTCTCTCCTGGGGCAAATTGCCTGGAATCAAATCAAACAGTAATGCTTCACTGAAAAGTGAACCTTAGGTGGGGGTTAGAAAACAGCTTGCTTGATCACTGGGATAAAAATAACAAGAGAGAAAATGGGATAATCAGGAGCTTCCTTGTTCTGATCAGGGAAGAAAAGCAAAGGACTTAGAGATGATCAGTATGAAACTTGATCATCAACTGAATTACAGAGTTGGAAGAAATCGCAAAGATCTCCTAGTTCTGATGATGGAGGTGTTGCACCGTTACAGCAACACAGTGATAGGTGGCCATCCATTCCACGCTTAATGATCTTGCACGGAGAGTCGACTAGCAGTCAAAGATGCCAGTTGCACACGTCTGTATCCTTAAACAATTCTGTTGCTGAGTTAAATCTCCTTTCTTGTAATCCAAAGCCACTATCTTCTGAAATGATGGGTAACAAATTATCTAGCCTTTTTAAGCCATTTGCTTGTTAAAGGGATCCTTGTGGAGAACTTCACAATTGTTTTTGGTTTTCATCATGCTGAGTAGTTGAGTTTCACTCTCAAATTTGGCCAGCTCATTACTTAGTTTATGGCCCCAACTTGAATGATTTAACAAGGGAGTTAAGAGAGATTTACGGAGGCCGGATTTATGGAGACATTGATGGCTACCGGGCATGCTGACTATATATTATCTCCAATATTGGAGACACTGTGTCTGCTAATACAAGATGTTGGAGAACATAAAGAGGGGAGTGCTTTTGTCCTGATGCCCTGCCTGGGGTCCTTCTAGAAGAACTTGGGAAACTGGATACTGGATTAGATAGGCCCTTAGACTGATTCAGCAGGTGTTATGATGTATTTTGAAATTTTAATTTAAATTTTAAATGTTAGGGTGACTTTTTAAAAGCCAGGCAAGGTACAGTTGTGTGAAAAAGAAAGTACACCCTCTTTGAGTTCTATGGTTTTACATATCAGGA